TTTCCGTAAACACCCTTCAACAAAATGGGCCCTCAGATTGAATTTCTCTAATCTGTATGGCCAAAAAAGAGATAGCCATGGTGACTACTTAAAAATAAGGAACCAGGCTAACGCATTCCTTACATATTGTTACTGTACCGACTGATCATGTGGATCAACTGGTTGTTATGAATTTGTCCACTTGACTCAAAATAATTTTACTATCCCCTCACAACGATGCTGCTCCCATAGGGCAGAAAGAAGCATAAATTTAAAGATCTTCCATTTATGTAAAAATTAACTTAAAAGGATCCGGTGGAATCCACGTGATATAGATGATTACCGAACTCTAAATTTTAATATTGACAAGTGGAATGGACAAGTGGAAAAAAGGTAAGTTCGAAATGGGGAAATATCTGGAATGAGGCCGGCCGGATCCCCCTGAAGAAGATCTTGTTTGGCTGTTACTCAATTATTTATAATCTTTCCCAAGAAAAAAAAATATTTATAATCCGAAAACAATATGTATTAGGTAGAGCCTGCAGTACGGGCTCAAGATAAGGTGCATAACCATCGGTTAGGCACCTATTAATAACCAAATTTGGACCCTTCATTTAGAAAATTCAGATCTAAAGATGAAGAATTAAAAACCATTTTTATTTTCCCTAGCTTTCTTAATCGGCTTATATCTTTTTTGTTTTAACTCGGATTTTAATTTTTTTGTACAGATGGAACGAGTTCATCGTGCTCTACAAAATGAGATCAATTTTCAATATTTTTTGAGAAAAAAAGAATTATGGCCTCACGGTACCAACTGCATACCATATGGTATTTTCTTCGTTTTTAATTCGTTTTTAAAACGTTTGCACAGAAGGGACGAGTTCATCATGATCTATTGGATCTACAAATTTTTGGGTAAACAAATTACATGACCAAAAAATACCACACAATACCATACAATACCACCCTGGTACGGGGTGGTATCTTGTGGTACACAATGATAAAAAATCGTAAATAACAATTAATATACTTCTACTATCATGTATTCAACCACCCTACAGTCTTTACCAGGTGTCTTTACTCCAGCCGCCGACAAGGAGATGGCCGGAGCTAGTGTCGCTGCCAAGTCGAGGGATTGAGAGCCAGGGAGACGGACGATCTACTTCTGAATTAGTTTAGGGGTTTCACTTTTTTATTAATTGATGTCATAATAAAATAATTAAAAATGAAAATTCGAGTGTTTGGAATAAATTAAGGGTAATTGGGTCATTTCACAACCCCTTTAACGGTCACTTAACATATAATTGGATAGAAGGGTAAACTTGTTACGTTTTAATATTAGAGGGGTGCATTTGTGCAAAAATTTAGTAGAGGGATACAAAATGCTATTAACCCTTAAACCACCAAACCTACTAACATTATAAGTCACATAAAGCATATACCTAATATCAATAGTCTAATTTAGATAATTTTTGGGCTCTCTATTTTCGTTTGGCACATTATTTGCTCTTATATATAAAAAAAAATGGGACAGTGGACAAGGAAGTAATGTCCAAAGAGATGTTCAAAATTGGAAATATACGGTTTTATTAGAAAAAAAAAAAGATTATATCTCAAACAACTCTCGGATCCAGTAAAGAAGATCTTGTTAAGTTGTTTGGCTGTTCAACGCCTCCAAACAAGAGGGTGTCGTAATTTTACTGTTGCTGTGTGTTTCCCATTTAGAAATTGGAATACTATATGAGGCAACAGATGAATGTTGGTCACGGATGACTGAACCTAATTACCTTAGTTAGTAATATAATTTATATTGTGTTTTCTTCTAAAATTTTAAAAAAGTTAATTTCTTAAATTATGAAATAACAAACTAGTATAAGTTACAACAAAATATGACGATGCGTTTTCGTATTCTAAAAAAAGTTGTAAAATTCACTTAAGCTTCTACAGTGCTCAATAAATCTTTCTCTATATATCCCACTAAAATCATTAATACACTCATCGCCTATTTGATTTCGAAGATTGTTCTTGATGTATCCCAAAACTGGAAAACAAGCTCTTTCGACACTTTGAGTTGCAACAGCTGAAATCAATACTATTTTGAGAATCAAATAGTCCAATGAATATGATGACTTGTTTTTTGTTTTCATCGTTAACTAAACTAATTCGTCAATTTCTTTAAATCCAAGGAATAACTCATCATTATTGACACTACAATAATAATTCTCAAAATAAAGATGAATTAGTTGAGTTGAAAAAGATGTGCTTAACCTTACGCCTAGGCGCTAGGCAAAACCAAATTAAAATGCCTTGCCTAGGGATTCCGCAACAAGTTAGTTATTTCGAACTCGACCGTGTAGTTTGACCATATCTAGGTGTCGTAAAGGTGTAATAATTGGATGAGCTAGACAGTCTATACAAGAAAGTAGGAATTAACATCATCTACACTCTCAATCTTTACTCCCAATCACTATCTCAGTCTTTACTCCCAATCACTTTTCAATAGCTCAAGGGGTCGTTTGGATGGGAGATTGTGGCAGGATTGTGGTCCAGGATTTTATAACAATCCCACACAATGAGGGATTTTAACCAAATAACACGTTTGGTTAGATATGGGATTGTGGCCATCAGAGATTTTAAAAACTCACATATGTGGGATTTCAAAATAGCTGATGGAGGTCAGCTATTTTCAAATCCCTCATTTTTTTGTGTCTTGTTCCAACTTGGCCCTTCCTCCTTCTCCCTCTGCCTTCGACTGGTACCCAATAAACTTCACCCATCATCCTTCGGAGAGTTCGATTTTGTAGGCGAAACATCCTCTTCCTCAACTCCTCCCCTAGACCCCAATTTTGGGTTATGTTCGCTCGTTCTTGGTTTGAGATTTCATTATTTATTGATTGAGGTGTAGAATCGGAAGAATCAGGGTTTTTGCGCGAAGTCAGAACCTTGAACGTCCATCCCCTAAACCCCAATCCCGGGTTTTGCTCGCCGTCATACCATTCTCCCTCTCTTCGCTCTGGATTCCCAGCTCTTCCTTCGCTCACCGTCGAGTATCTCTTCGCATTCAAGCCACCGCCGCCTCCCGACCAGAATGTCGACATCGCCGATCGAATCAAGTCCGCGCTAAGCAAGTGTCGATTTGCTCATTCTAGGTTTCGCCATCACTAAATCTGGGTGTAGGATCAAGGTTCCTGACCACTGATTTTGCTTTTGGGTTCTACATTTTGTTTGGCCACTTCTTCTCCTTTATCTCCTCCAACGTCACCATCCGTCACCAACACTGCCGGCGCTGCTTCTTCTCCCTCATCTCCTGTCGTTGTTGGTCTTGGTTGAAGAAGACGAAGAAGCTGAGAAAGAGAAGAGGTTAAAATTATATTTTTACTCTTGGTGTAAAAAACCCTCAATTAGCTTCCAAACGAGTTAATTTGTACAAATCCTGCAAACAAATTACCTGGGTTTTTAGACGAGAGATTTAGGGGTCGTTTGCTTCATGGATTTGGATGTGGGATTTGGTTCTTAAATCTAACACATGACAGATTTGTCCAAAAGCCATTTTTTGTTGAGCCAAAATGGAGGTACCAAATCCGTGGGGTCCACTGATTTGGGGCTCCAAATCCGTGGGCCCATCCCACCTATTTACTTGGGATTTGAAGAAGTGAGCAAATCCTTCATGAAAAATGACTTATATATCCCGTTATAATTTATTTATTCAAACTTTACCCGTCATTAGTTATTCTTTGCACTACTACAATTGCCTCTTATAGCTACAAACTTAGCCATGAAAAGTAATATTGTAGCTAATAACATGCTAATGACTACATAATCTATTCCTCATGGCTATTTGTGAAGGTCTTTGTCACACATTTCTTTTGCGATAAACGTATGATTATTTTTATTCAAATTTTGATTTGGATGGCAAGTAACATTTGTTGTTAAAATAGTAATTCTAACAAACAAATTTTAGCCAAGAATTGTAAGATTACAACTATATATTGTGATTATCTACCCATTTTAATATCTCGTGGCTACTAATTTTACGAGCTTGCTATAAAATGTCAATTTAAAAGGACAAATTAACAATATGACCACAAGAATAAAATTAGAAACATAAGTAAAGTTATATAAATATAACATGAAGAAGGATAGTAAGGTAATATACATCTTAAAGATATAAATCCATAACCCATAAATCCATGATCAAATCAACTAAGCAAACAAGGGACTTTTCCAAATTCATAATGTAACAAATCCATAACAAATCATTGGGTTTTTAAATTAGAAAACCTTATTTCAAATCCATGAAGCAAACCAACCCTTAGACTCAAATCTCTCATAAATCACTAGTTTTAAAATCCCCATTCAAACGAACTCCCAAGAATTTTGTGAACCATTAACCTATAATTGTATAAACTCGAGCTAATTTTCTAATTCTAAGTGTTAAGTAAGTTATTACAGTTTGAAGTAAAGTGAAGGTGTTGTAAAACAACAATTTCATTCATCATTAAGTACAAAAATACTATCTTGCTTCCACGCCTGAACAGTACACTTAAGCAACGTCTAGACAATTTATGCGCTAGAAAAGACCCCAACACCCTGTCAAGAACCAGTTGCTCCCAATAACTCGAGTTGTTGGGAGAGATTCAATCGTGGATCTTATACTACTCTCTAATACACCCATCATACGCGTCTAAAGAACCTTCTTGAACCTTGCTATTTTCTTTTTTAAGAAAATTACAACCAATCCTCACTTCACTTGGGACGTTAGTTCGAGAATTATCAAATAACCGAACCTCTAAACGGGCATCTTCAAAGTGAAATAAATGCACAAGCTTCCCTCTTACTGCCGAGCGTCGTCGTCGTCATCATGCTTGGGCCACTTGTATGATGTATCCTCCCTCGTCTTTCTTCAGTCAAAATATGTTCCTGCAACTGTTTGTGCAAGAAAAACGTTAAACACCGATATTGCTGCTCCCAAGTACTGTAGATATCAGGGGTCTATAAAATGGACACATAAATTAATGTCCGACTCTCTACTCAAGCCAACTCAAAACTCATATCCACGCAGTCAGTCATGGACATGGACTCGGTCAGCACCGGGGACAACAACACGAGCTCGCTCCTCGAAGCCCAGAGCCACGTCTGGCACCACGCCTTCAACTTCGTCACCTCCATGTCCATCAAATGCGCCGTCCAGCTGGGCCTGCCGGAAGCCGTCGGGGCCCACGCCGGGCCCATCTCCCTCCCCGACCTCGTCTCCTCCCTGGGCCTCCCTCCTTCCAAGGCCCCATACCTCCACCGCCTCCTCCGCCTCGTGGCCCACTCCGGCTTCCTCACCCTCCACAACAAACCAAACGACGTCGAACGATACTCACTCACTCCCGCCGGCCGACTCCTCCTCAGCGACAACCCCTACAACGCCGGCTCGCTCCTTCTCGCGGTCCTCGACCCGGTTCTCACCGAGCCGTTCCACCACATGAGCGCGTGGTTTCGGAGCGAGGAGGACGACAAAGATACGACGACGTTTTCCGCGACCCACGGCGGCATGATGGCCTGGGAGTACATGGCCACGGACGCGGCGTTCTCTGATCTGTTCAACGACGCCATGGCGAGGGACAGCTGTATGATTGCCGAGCTGGTGGTGAAGGAAGGTAGGTCGGCGTTCGAAGGGGTCGGGTCCCTCGTCGACGTGGCAGGTGGGACCGGGAACATGGCCAAGGCTGTGGCTAAGGCGTTCCCCGGGATGACTTGTACCGTGCTGGATCTGCCACATGTCGTCTCCGGGCTCGAAGGCGGCGGTAACAACGTGAAGTATGTTGCCGGCGACATGTTTGAGTCCATCCCCGCTGCAGATGCCGTGTTGCTTAAGGTACGTAGTTGTAGTATATAATATATATGTGCTTCTTTAGAATTATGATTCTTCCATCAAGAATTAATAACCTTGTCCTTTGGATGTTTGAACATGGGGGTAAAAAAAAAGTGGATTATGCACGATTGGGACGACGAGAAGTGCGTGGAAATTCTGAGGAAGTGCAGGACGGCGGTGACCGGCGGAGGGAAAGCTGGGCAGGTGATAATTATAGACATGGTGCTAGGGAACCAGAGTTTGGATGCGAAGTTGCAGGGAGTACAGTACGCTTTCGACATGGAAATGATGGTTTCGTTGACTGGCAAGGAGAGGAACGAGGAAGAGTTTGCGAAGCTCTTCTTTGATGCTGGGTTCAGTAGCTACCATATCAATCCGATTCTTGGCACACGAGCTCTCATTCAGGTCTATCCTTGAAGAAGAAGAAGAAGAAGTGCACGTAAAGCTGTTGCCAATTTTCTTTTTTCTTTCGACTTTCATGGGGGAAAAAAATAAATTGATGGGTTCTTAAGCGCAGCAGAAGATATAGAAATGCCAAACTGCTCACTAATCTTTACGGATATTTGTTCTGGACTCCAAGTAGAGCATACTTAGAGTATGTTGAGTAAATCATCGATGTAAATCTTTGACGTTGGTCAACAAATTAAAGGGCGGAATCCAAATTTGAACTGTTAGTGACATCTAGCGGTTCACTTCAACAACAAAAAAATCGACTACTTAATGTTCCAAACTTCCAATTGAACTTCATTTACCATATAAAATACAGAGCTATGAATTTCAATTGATGTATGTATCATTCCTTGAAACCACGAACCGTACTAATAGAAAACCATTATAAATCACATAAAGCATATAACTAATGTTAATAGTAAAATTTAGGTAATTTTTGGGCTCTCTATTTTTGTTTGGCACATTATTCATGCTCTTATATATTAAAAAATGGGACAGTGGACAAGTGGACAGGGTTAGCACTTAGCAGGAGTACAGGTTGCAAGTTGCAAGGAAGTAATGTCCAAAGAGATGTTCAAAATTGGAAATATATGGTTTTATTAGAAAAAAAAAAGAATTATATCTCAAACAACTCTTGGATCCAGTAAAGATAGGGCTGGAGGTTCGGTTATCGGTTGTTGGTTAACCGGCCGGTTAAACCGATAACCGGCGGTTACCGGTTAACCGACTAATCGAAAAGTAAGGCCTCGGGCGGTGTTCGGTAGAGGGGTTGGAGAGACCGGTTAACCGGTTAACCGACAGTAATAACCGTCGGTTAAACCGACTAACCGGCGCACCCTAACCCTAGTAAAACGACGCCGCTCCACATTCACCCTAACCCTAATCCACCTAAATCTATCCGAGTCCGCCATTCCTCTGCTGCCTGCTGCTTTGCATCGCGACTCGCGAGACGGCGAGACCTCCCTCTCCCCGACTCTCCCTGCAGCCGCCCTCACTCGCCGTCGCCTGCCGCCGCCGCCTGCCCTCACTCTCCCCTGCCGCCGTCGCCTGCCCATTTGCATAAAGGAGCCAGCTACCCTGCAGGCCGCCTGCATAAAGAAAGAAAACACCACCACCACTGCTACTTCTTCTTCCTCTGCAACTAGCAGTACAACTTGCTTTATGGGTTTCCATTCTCTGATGAGAGAAGAAAACTTTAATTTCTGCTACCCTATTTAACAAACTAACTCTTCCTTCTCTCCATTATTCCCTCGTACTCTCTTTTCTTAAGCTGCATATGTTCTTTCTTTGTTTATTGTTGTTGGGCTGGGGATCAAACCTAATTCTGTTTCTCATCCCCCAATTCTCCCCATCCAATCCAAACCCCTTTTTCCTCTTTGCTTGATTCCCTCCCTATTAATCTTTGTTCGTGTAGGGTGACTGTCGGATTCGGTTACTGATTCGGTCAGTCGGTTACAATCAAATTGTCTGTTCTGTGCGGTTTTCTCAGCTAACCGACTAACTAACCGGTAACCGACCGGTCGGTTGTCGGATAACCGAGGAGGGTGGTCGGTCGGTTGGCGGTATCTATTCCTTGCGTCGCGGTTAACCGGTAACCGACCGTTCGGTTACCGGTTATAACCGAAAAAACCGAATCTCCAGCCCTAAGTAAAGAAGATCTTGTTTGGCTGTTCAACGCCTCCAAACAAGAGGGTGTCGTAATTTTACTGTCGGTTTGTTCTCCCCCTGCCTTAGGAAATTGGAATATTATATTAGGCAACCGATTAGGTCACCAAATCCAATTATTGGCTACGTCATTTTATAAAGCATCGGCATCTTTATTAGCTTTGGTGTATGAATATTGATGTACTTATAATGAATAGCACTCCAAATAATGAAATAATCTTGCGTATTATCAATCATTGATGTACATATAATTACTACTGTAAATAATCTTGCGTATTATCAATCATTGGGCGGATGTTGTAGGCTGGTATGACAGATAGCCCCTCTAAGGCTGTACATCAAAGTTGTCAAACTGGTTTAACAAGTGGTTTGATCTTTAATGGTCATATCGGGTTCAATCAATTTAAGTCGGGTTTAAGATAGTATGATAGAAAACCTCTACTACCAAATAAATTATGCATATATTTGACATATTTTAAAACAATCTCACTAATCTATATTCATATATTTCCAAATTATTTCTTCAAAAGAAATATATATTACAAAATTATCAATACTCATCTTCAAACCTGTTATTTTTTTTAAGTTGTTATTATTGAATATAAAATAATTTAACATAGATATAAATCCATGATCAACTCAATCCAACACAAGCACACAAAAACATCATTCTACCATCAATTTTGATTAAAGAACATACAAGAATACCCAACAACAATTACTTAACTCATAAACCCCACAAATTACATGCAAGTTTAAATGTTACAAATTGTTGTCGAGCTACTATAACCATGTCTATCTTTCTATTGTGCTCCATTTAAAGCCCTTCATTAAAATTATTCTCATTTGAACATAAGTTACTATTACAACTAGCTAGGGAGGTAAGGGATCTTGTAAGCCTTCAAACATTCCATTATTTTCTCCTATGACTTTCAGTGACTCATCGATGCCTATTATTGTCGATCCTAATTATGAGGATGCCCGTAATAAGTTAGTTGGCTAATCATTTAACCATTGATTACTAACTGTTTAACAGGAAAATAGTGAGATACACCCATTAATTAGATCCATTTCCATTGGATCTAATAGCAATGCTAGACCTTACTTATGGGTTTCTAAGCCTTTCTAGGGCAACAAACTGCCAAGGAATTTGATTGGAGTTTGAGGGGCAAAGTGGTAAATTCCAATGGATTGGCCCTGTCCTGAACCATGTCTACCAAAGCTTCTATATTGGGAGTGGACCACCATTAAATAGGGAGCTCAAAATAAAAAAAAATCTAATTAATAAAAAATCCCACTTATGGGATTATCCTTTGTGAAATGTTTTTGCTTTTCCTACGTTTGTGTTTCCAAGAGGCAATTTGTGTCTTGTGAGAATTATAAAAAGTTCAGTATGATAATGTGGGTAAGGGGCAACAACAACAAACCTAGTGATAATAACCAAAGCAATCAAAATTGATATTTTACCTAAACTGAAAATTATGGTAAAATTGAAATTGTAAAATCGAATCGTAAAATTGTAGAATTTTAAGTACAATATATATAATATAATATAATATATAATAATATTGATCAGGTAAATCATTAATAACACAAAGACACATAACATTTAAAATGTTAATTCTCAAGATTTTTTTATAGGAGATAATTCTCAAGATTTATGTTCCAAAATCACTATTTTAAATATTATTTAATGCATAACTCAAAATAATTCACGATGAAGGGATAGAGCTCATGGGGGTTTAGTTCTTGTTTTCATGTTGTGTCTAGGTAGTTTAACTTAAAGTAATATTCCGACATCGTATACTAAGTATGATTTAAAATAAAAAATAAATGAACTCCAATAAAATAAGTAATGCTAGTGGCTTGGTACAAATATATTTATTAATAAATTAATTAGTTAATAATGATGTTAATTCTTACATACTTCCAATATTAGGACAATTGTTTTACCAATAAGCTAATTGGGGCGAAGGAAAAAGGGATTAACCGATCCCTAATTTGGTTATTTTTATTATTTTTAAATAATTTTCTAATAGAAAAAATATATGAGAAGATTCTCGGCATTGCCCTTTCCGCCGAAACAATTATGCTTCTTTTAAATTGGCTCAAACCACCTATTTTGTTCTCATATGATCAAAATCCCGATTTTGATACGATTTTACGATTTTAAACGATTTTAAGGTCCATCGATTATATAGTAAAATCAAGATAGAAATCCCTAAGTAAAATTCTAAAATCCTATGATGTTACGATCAAAATTCTGATTTTTACTGCATTGATAATAACAATGTGATCACAAGAAAGTGGATTGGTTTGTTAGATTTTCCAGATTGAATTATAAATTTATTTTTAGTTGTTGTCAAACTGAAGAAATAAACAGTCAAATGTCTCATTATAAGGATGCCCGTAATAAGTTAGTTGGCTAATCATCTAACCATTGGTTACTAATTGTTTAACAGTCAATTAGTAATTAGCTAACTTTGGCTACCGGGAATCCACTGTTTACGGTTTAATCGGTTATCATTTGACAATGAATTATACATGGTAATTCATTTTACAATGAAATGAATTATCGATTCATTTTATACCAAACGGTCTGTAAGTAATAGAACCAATTAATGCACGAGAAAGAAAGATATCATAGTAATCATAATAATACATGAAAAATTCCGGTCTTGTAATACGATGATACGATCGGGTTTTTTGTGCCGGAACTCAAACCCTATTATAATGCTAACACTAAATTTTCTTTAATAGAAGTCACGTTTAAAATATGATCCATACATTAAAAATTATTATTAGAATTAATAGTTACACACAATTTTCTATAATAATGAAAGGTAGCAAATAAGCAGATATGATATATGTAGAGGTTATGGTGCTAACGCACAATTTAACAATTTAATAGGATGATACGCTCGGGGTTTTTTGTGCTCGAACCTAAACCCTATTATAATGCTAATACTACATTTTCTTTCGTAGAAGTCACATTTAAAATTTGATCCATACATTAGAAAGTATTATTAGAATTAATAGCTACACAAGTCACTGTAATAATGAAAGGTATAGCAAATAAGCCAATATGATATGGGGCAAAGGTTATGTGCTAACCAATGATTGAAATACCATATCATACCGGCGGTTCGACCAAAAAATATTGTACCATACTGGTGGTATTAAGTGGTTGAACCACGATTAAACTACGGTTTTAGCTTAAAATACCCTACCGCTGACTTTTTCGGTACAACATCCGGTACGGTATTTCAATCCTTGGTGGTAACACAACTTAATAGTATGATATTAAGGGTTCATTTGGAAGTTGCGATTGTTAAATAGATATATTGTTGTGAATACATGTATAATATTATATGGGGAAGTTTGAATGAGTTAATTGTCAATGTGATATTTCTATTTTCAATTAACTCACTTTTTCAATATGCATGTGGTGTTTGTGTGCTATTTGAGAAAATTGGAAATTAAATTATCTTGTTTGTATGAACCAAGATAATGAGTTATTTTATATGTAGTATTTGATAACGTATGAATAAAATACCATGACGCACTCAACTTAATGTCCTCCCAAAAAAACCTCATGTATGCTTTCAATACTTCTACCATTTGCAGACTTCTAATTTTTGGTGGGAGTTGCTTCATTCATCCAATTAACACTAAAACGAGGGAAATCAAAGATGTGAAATCAAAGTCATGTTACGAAGAAGTGACAACTACTCCATAATTTAAAGCAAAGATGTTGCAATTACAACATCCCATAAACTTAATGTAGCAAGATTAAAAAGGAAATCATGCATGTTCTGAACGTTACGACATTAATCATTTTACAACAGCTATCTCATGCTAATTACTCGATCTGCACAATACTCTCTCTAAGTCTCCACCAGTTTCATCAGCAGCAGCACAACTTGAGGCCTTCAAATCTTGCTTTTAATGTTGTAAATTAGGATAAATGTGGGTTACGTTTTAGCCCATCTTAATGTAGGTTGGGCAGATGTTGTAGGCTGGTATGATAGCCCCTCTAAGACTGTACTCAAACAGTATTACTATTAAGTTATCAAACTGGTTTAACAAGTGGTTTGACCTTTAATAGTTGGATCGGGTTTAACTAATTTAAGTCGGTTTTAGGATAGTATGCTAGAAATCTCTACTACCAAATAGATTATGCATATATTTGACATATTTTAAAACAATCTCACTAATCTATATTCATATATTATCACAAAAAAAAATATATTACAAAATCACCAATACTCATCTTCAAACCTGTGTTATGTTTTTAAGTTGCTATCATTGAATATTAAATAATTTAACATAGATATTAATACACGATCAACTCAATCCAACACAAGCACACAAAAATATCATTCTACCATCAATTTTGATTAAAGAACATACAAGAATACGATACCTACAATAATGAATTAACTCATAGATAAACCCCACAAATTACATGCAAGCTTAAATATTACAAATTGTTGTCGAGCTACTATGCCCATGTCTAACTTTCTATATTGCTCCTTCTAAATCCTTTCATTAAAATTATTCTAATTTGAATCTAAGTTACTATCACAACTAGCTAGTCAGCTAGGGAGGTCAGGGGTCTTGCAGGCCTTCAAACATTCCATTATTTTCTCCTATGATTGTCAGTGACTCATCGATGCCTATTATTGTCCGTCCTAACTATGAGGAAGCTCGTAATAAGTTATTGGCTAATCATTTAACCATTGGTTACTAATTGTTTAATAGTCGATTAGTAATTAGCTAACTTTGGCTACTGGGAATCCACGGTTTAATCGGTTATCGATGTAACCGTTAACCACCGATTCTGGTTCGATTATCGGTTACACCACTAACATGATAACCGTTTACCAACCCTACTATTTAGGGCGACAAATGACCCGAGTCGAGCCGAGTTTTTACCTATTTTTGGCGCGGTTTGTTAATAAACGACTCGAGCTCATCTTGGTTACTAAACCTCGGCTTGTGTTTGATTCGATCTCGGCTCAATAATGTGATCACGAGCTCTACTCGAGCTTGGGTCATCAATTTAACTCAGGAGATCGGCTCGAGATAAGCCGTCATATCATTTAGTTCATAAATTTTAATTGTTTATATCATATTATTTCAAATTTATTAGTATATGAGCAATCTATCTTTTGAATATAAATGAGACATATTTAACTACGGGCTCAAATTTTAAACATCATAGATGATGAGATATATATATAATCTAATAAATCAATGAACCATCAACAAGTCAACGATAAGTAATAACCGATTCGCCGATAAATTGCTTGTTGAGGTGGCTCGGTAGTCATACTGTTGAGCCAACTCATAGCTCAAACGAGCTAGCTCGCAAGTTGAATTCCACAAGCCACTGAGCCATACTGGCTTGCAAACCTTGCGAGCCGAACAATATTTGCTTATCTCAACCTAACGAGCCGATTGTCGAATGAGTTTTTTCAAGTCGAACGACTAACCGCTCGTAAGCAATTTGACTTATTTGCAACCCTACCCTTCATCACCCACTCAATACCCAATCCAATCACAAGTATATATGAAGATTGCGTGGGTAATTTTTATCTATAAAGTGAGCTACGGTCTAATATGACACTAATAATAATGCAGAGAAAACAGCCACACCCAAATTGTAGAATATTGTTCACCTCAATGTGCTGAATATATATATTACTGAAACTTCTCAAATTGGACTGTTCCACAACACTTCAAAACTAGTACATTCTCACCGGGATCAAACACCCTCACATCATGCAGGGAAAAGAAGAAACGAGAACAAAAGAATCAAGCACCAACGAAAGTAGGTGGGCAACGACCCAAAGGGCAAGACTCAACCTCATATTTTCCTAGACATATTTGACCTCTGCGTCTTTGGAAATACGCTTATACGATACCAGCTCATTCAAGAATCCCAGAACCTTATCAGATGACAAGTTAACTGCACGCTTAATCAAGATCATACGAAGTTGTGGGGCAGTGGCTAGAACAAACCGCACCAGGTCCAGCTCAACTTGCGTACCTTGGCTATCCTGAATGTTGAACTCTTCAAGAAGTTGAAGGCAACAAATTCCCTGTCGTTCCTCTGCTTCCAACAGCTCCTGTAGGCTACCCATAACCTCTGAAGACGGCTGGGCATTATTAGTACCCAACTAAAAGAAAGATTTGTCAAAAGAAAAGAGAAAAAAAAAACAAGTCAAAGGCTGAAGAGTTGACAAGTATACCCACATATATATATAATATTACAACAATAAGTGTAGAAACCAACCCGAATGCTGAGCTTTTGTAAGTTGGGGGAACTCATGATCAGACAGATAAGAACCTGTGCCTGTGGCAAGTTATCCAGAAGAAGGCGAGTTACTTCGAGGAATTTTAACTGGTAGAGGATTGTTGGCAGTTTGTAGGGGACATTACCCTTAGCAGAGAACTGCAGAAAGCAAACAAATAGAGGAAATGAATTAGTACAAAAAAAAACCCAGCTGCTTCCTTGAAGTGGTAACACATGATGAATAAGTAAAAGAAACGAATTAAACTTACTTGCAGCGAATGAATTCCAAAAGTCAGCTGCCTGATCGCAGGGAGAGAAGCAAATGTTTTAAACCAATCAGTATACCTCCAACCATCTAATATTGATAGCACGGAGAGCACAGGAACATTGTTGAAGGAAATGACCGTATTGGAAACATGATTGTGAAAGAGAAGCACTTTGAGAGATGGCGCTTCAATATCATAATTTTGGTCGCTACAGTATAAAACCCTCAACTCTTCAAGCAGGGGGCACTCCGGCTGTAACTTCTGCAGGAAATCTTCAGGCATGATAACATGTTCAAGCTCAAGAACGACCAGCTTACGAAATCCCACAAAAGAAGATGGTGCACCAACACTACAATGCTGCAGTTTCAAAACAGTCAGGTGGCAGGCGGTAAACAGGGAGGAAGGCAGCTTGGTCTGACCCACGGAAAACCTAAGAGCAAGTTCCTGGACACCTTTGCTTCCAACGTGAGGAATCAACTTACAAATACGTGGACAGTCTTCTCTCAATCCAGGAATTGAGAGCTCAAACTTGGTTACTGGACCATCATGAAGCAGCAGAGCTTCGTAAATGTCCATCATGACCTTTTTCTCATCCGGTAAATAGGGTTCCGTACTGGGGAGTGGTGGAGCAAAACTACCGTCGAACACAAGTTGAGGAATACTTCTCCAATGATGCCTCCAGTTTCTTGACAGGATGCTGGTTCTCCCAGCATCTTTTATGGGTAACAGCATCAGAATGTGCTCTATCACATTGGCTGGAACGTTGCTAATCCTATCAACAGTAGACTCGCCCAGCTCCATTGTCGTTGGCTTTATAGTACACAAAACCACAAACAAGTGATCGATGCTCTACTCAGCTTCACAACAAAGAGAGAACGAAGTCTTATCTCTCCCTCTCACTGAAGGAGAAGAAACAGCGAGAGACTTTGATGGAGACACATTGCCAAAACCCTAAATAACACACCAATCTTTCTGTTAGAAACAAATTTATCTCTATAATTATTATTATAATCATTATTAGGGTAATTCTTATTATGGTTAGTAGTCTCCTAGTAGAATTAGGTTTATTCTTAGGGTTTTCTAGTATTTTCCTATATAAATGTACTTTGGGTCATTCGTCATATTAAGCAGAAGTTAATAAAAGAATTATCTCCTTAATCCCTCTCCCTATCCTCTCTCAATTCTTGACCTAAATCCCTCTAAAGGTTTAGGCCGATTCTCTTCTATTCTTCCCCAAATTCTCCTCAAATCCCTAAATCCCCAATTCTATTCTATAAACCCTAAATTCCCAATCTCTAGATCTGATCTAGAAACCCGTTAGAAACTTTGTTTCTAACACTTTCTTTCTTTATATACCCTAAGGAAAACCCTTGTGGAGAGATATTGAAAGATGACGCTTACACCGTTACACGCCACTTTCGCAGTAAAAAAGGGAAACAATGACCGGAATAAGAGGGAATAAAAAAGGAAGAGAGTACCCCATCAATACGCAAAGACACTTGTGACCACTGTCACATCTAACGACTGAGAATACGCCAATGCTCCCATCCAAAGGCTCTATGTGTCTCCCCCGTCGAGTAACAAAAATGTCACCGTCTCATCTGATGGATGAGAATGCATGAAACACCATCCGGCGGTTCAGTGGGTATCTGCCTGGTCGGCACAGAGAAGGGTACCCCTATACACAGCCTGGTTGTATCTACACAAAGCTGAGAAAACTGTAACAAACACAGATTGTAGAAGGAAAAATTAAACATTTCGAATCATGCACTTCCCGAGAAGTTGAAGTGATGCCAAGGTTAAAATGTGAGTGTAAAGCTACAAAGTGTTCGCTTCTTTGGACGCACAATTATATCCATTCACAAATGAAGTGTCCAACTTACGGCAAAGCAGGAAGTTGACTCTGGGAAGATGTGGGGCCTTGGCTAACACAAACCTCATCAGCTCCACTACTACCTGCAAGCCTGGCCTGTCCTGAGTGTCCAACGGGTGAAGACAACTACCATATCAATCAGACTGCAGCTCCTCTGCTTCAACAACATATTTTTTAGGCTGCCAATATAATGTTTCTACCATGAATGGTCTTTTGCAGTATGAAGCTAGAAGAAGAGTATTTGGCCACAAAAGTCAGTCACAAAAGAGAGTAAATTGAACCAACAATTGTCCATAACTCGGTACACAACAATTCCACTAATGCCAATGGTGAATATACAACATTTGAAGAAATAGAACAATTGTGGAGTGTTAACAATTGTGGAGTGTTAGGTATTACTTAGTAACTATGGATGGTGAGATAAAGATCTATTCCCAAATATGAAATATGACCGAATCGAAAAGCATTTTGCAAGAAAATGTGCCCTAAAATAGACTTTTGTGCTTCACCTTGTAATCTCCTTAAGAGAGAGATGACTGGGAAATGGAAATCTAATGATGGTGGGATTTATGCTAATGGGAATGTATAGCTAGTAGATGAATAATAAAGGAACTTACAACCCACATCGCAAGGGTACACTATTGAAAAAACTCAGCCTTACTAGAATGTTGAGCGGGCGCAAGTTGGGGGAGCTCATGAAGACATAAGAGAAACTGCGCTTCCTGCAAGCTGTCCAAGAATATGTTAGGCATTTCCAGGACTTGTAAGTGGTGAAGAGGAGTAGGAAGCCCGGTGGGGATATTATCACTTGCAGCAAGGTACTAACAATTACAAAGCAACAACATAAATGAATGAGGCGAGAAACCAGGTAGACAAGGTTGAACAAGTCGAGTCGGGGGAAGCAAAGCTTACTTTCTCGAATTCGAGCCCAAGAAAAGCAAATACAGTGACCACATCCAGCTCCATAACATCCCCAACGGGGAAACAAGGGCTATGTTCATATTTATCAGTAGCTAAACAACACTTGCCGCCGCCATGAATATCAAGAATTGTTACCACTGAAAGAAGTTGGATAAACTCAAAGACAATTGACATCCACTCACACTGAAGAGAAAGCACTTTAAGACGAGGAACAACAATCTCAAGTTTACCAACTGAGCCATAACTTAAAAAGACTCAATTCTTCAAGCAGCGGGCACATGGGAATGACATTCTCAAAGAGATCACCCAACAGCTACAACCTACAAGAGTTCCCATTCAGGACGAGTAAGCCTGCTAAATCCCACAATCCAAATCGTTTCCAAATGCAAAACTTCTGGAAGGACGAGACTAAATTCCTGGACACCTTAGCTGGAAAGGTGAAGAATCATCCAATTGATATCAAGATCATAGGGTCAAGCCAGGAATGTCAAGCATGAACTCAGTTATCGGAACATCACAAACCATCAGAACTCTTGTGAATCTTCATCATTACCTCATTCACATTCGATCAGGGATGCGAGCAAAATCTCCATCGAAAACAAGTTGGAGAATGCTTCTCAAAAGATACCTCCACTTACTTGACAACGCAGCTGCTTTGATGGCATCTTTTACGGGTAAGAAGGCGAGAAACGCTGTGACACATCGGCCGGGAAGTTGCTGATTCTATCAGCATTCAGCTGCCGTCCCTCTCGGCTCTGCTCCATCCTGACTGAGTCTGTGTACTGAGTAGACTTGAATCACACATGGATAATCGTGGTCGATTCCTAAGTGAGAATAACGAATTCTAATTCTACACATACAGAGAGTGAGAAATGATGGCAGAACCCTAAGCCCTTTCTCAGAAGGAGACTCGGAGAAATGACGGATGTGTGATACACTACAGCTACTAGGTACAAAACGACACACCTTTTCGCCTTTGTTTCCTACCTACGACGATTTGTGATGTCGTTTTGCTGCACCCAATCCTCCATTAATATATGGTAGAGTTTTGTGTACTTTTCTCCATTTCAAATTTCCTGCAACGTGAGTGAAAGTAGGAAGGTCATTTTTGTCTTTACACATTTATTATTTATTTCATATAAAAATAGGGGTTAATACCCTTGTTTGGCACGAAGTATAGCGTTGGTGACATTTCTGGCCCAAGTTTTCAAATAAGACATCTCTGGCCCACTTTTCAAATTATCGGACGAATTTGGCCTGTGGGACGGGTTGACTGTCAGATTTGACGGTCAACAATGTTCTCCGTTGCTTACTCAGCATTGGACTCTGACGTGGCTTCTCCACGTCATTTATTTTTATTTCCCCTTTTATATCCATTTCTAATTCAGTAAGTTAAAAAAAAAAAAAAACAAAACTAAAGGGAAAGGTGGAGACCACACACCCCATCTCTTTCCATTCTCCCTTCTTCCCCCGATACCCCACCCCCTCGTATCCCCTTCTCCGCCGCCGCCAATCCGACCCAAATCTTCTTCTTCTTCTTCTTCTTCTTCTTCTTCTTCTTCTTCTTCTTCTTCTTCTTCGTCTCCTTCCTCCTTCGCCGCATAACGACCTCCAGCTGCCGATTCCGGGAGCGTTGTTAGCTAGGCTGAAGAAATTAAAGTGGTTATCTTTGTCGCACAATAGCTTCTCCGGCGAAATCCCGGTCGAGCTCGGTGGTCTCTGCGGAACTTTACAGGAGCTCGACCTCTCTGGGAACAACCTCACCGGAGAGTTCCCCTCTGTTTTCAAGTCATGCTCTGTTCTCGAAACTCTCGACCTTGGACTCAACCAGCTCTCCGGAGATTTCCTGACCACCGTCGTCAGCGGGTTGACCGCCTTGAGAATCCTCCGTGTCCCTTTCAACAATCTAACCGGCGAGGTACCGCCGTCTCTGGTCAATTTGACTCGGCTAGAGGTGCTCGACCTTAGCTCGAATGAGTACATCGGAGCTGTTCCCTCCGAGTTCTGCACTTCTTCTTCCAACCCTTCTCTCGAGAAGCTCCTTCTCGCCGGTAATTACTTGACCGGGCAAGTCCCGGCGGAGCTAGCCAAATGCAGAAACTTAAGGAGCATCGATCTCAGCTTCAACAACCTAGACGGACCCATCCCGGCGGCGGAGAAGGGGATACGAGGGGGTGGGGTATCGGGGGAAGAAGGGAGAATGGAAAGAGATGGGGTGTGTGGTCTCCACCTTTCCCTTTAGTTTTGTTTTGTTTTTTTTTTTAACTTACTGAATTAGAAATGGATATAAAAGGGGAAATAAAAATAAATGACGTGGAGAAGCCACGTCAGAGTCCAATGCTGAGTAAGCAACGGAGAACATTGTTGACCGTCAAATCTGACAGTCAACCCGTCCCACAGGCCAAATTCGTCCGATAATTTGAAAAGTGGGCCAGAGATGTCTTATTTGAAAACTTGGGCCAGAAATGTCACTAACGCTATACTTCGTGCCAAACGAGGGTATTAACCCTAAAAATAGCAATATCAAGATTTGAACCCGGGTCTCTTCAAACAAAGACAACAATTACAACCAGTTACACTAAACAAATTTATTGTATCCTTTTTTATACAAAACATAGACAAAGTTAATCTCTGAAAATCAGAGGACTTTTTCATCATAATTAGCAAGCTCACTAAGTCTACCGTATGTTTTTTTATCGAGCTTGATACTTCTATTTTCATTGTAGAGTTCCATGTAATTTTCTCAATTTTAAATTCCCGCTCTCTCCTTAATTTTTGCTAAAGGTAAATGGGTAATTGGCTAACATGGAAGAAAATAATTATGTAACTACGTGTTGTATCCTTGCATTTTTCAATTTAAATTTAAATTTTGTGATTTTTTATCTTTGTTCTTTTCTCTTTCTAACTTCCTCCGAAATTTCATCCTTCGTGCAATAGTTTGCGCCTTTCACTTCCCAGTACAAGACTGTCATTGAAAATCAATCTTCAGGTATCTCTTGGCACTACGGTTTTATTGTTGGGGATTTTAAGCTGGGCGAGTAGAAGATTTCAACTCCGATATCAATCCATGGCGAATAGAATGGAGTTCATCAATAACTGGAGTTGTAGAAGGAGGATTAGAAATTGAATTTTTGGTTGAATATATGCCTCTTGAGATAGAAATTTGGTTGTACAACGGAGAGTGGTGGCTATTGGATCTTTAGGTTTATGGTTTTTACAACTGTCACAACCTATTTCTATCTTAAAACGACGAATCATTGATTGATTGTTTGAAATAGGTCGCTCCTTTATTCAACCTACTGGAACTAATAGATAAGGAATGTCTAATTTTGCGCCTTATTACTTTGATTGAGTCTATTCATATATTGTAGATAACCCTGATTTTTTCGTTTGCTCTCAAGTTGTGATGGTCCCCTCTTAGCTGAGTTTTTAGTATATAGATGACTTGAATCAACAACTCTTCATTTCTTTTTGATTAGTGACATATTGTTTATAAAAGGAGAGCATTGAACCCTTTATATAGGATTGTGAGGTTTAAGATTTAGTTTCAAACTATCTATGGGTCGTGTGAGAATTTCAGTGAGCTTTTATACTCTATATTTCTTGACTGTAAAAAAAACTAACCTAGCATTTTAACAGGGACTTAATTAGCATTATGAAAATGAGGTCAATGATACATTTTTATATTTTATATTCTTAAATGATTATGATATTTCTCCTAATGTTCGACCTATATATTATTTCTTTATGTATCATCTCGATCGAATGATTATCAATAAAATTAAATGGGTTAATAAACTTAAAAATAACATAAAAATACAAATAATCAAATATGAGCATTCCGACCAAAGGTCGGGTTATAAGCTAGTGGATACAAATATTTCCAAGTTCCAAGCTTTGTTTAAGCTTCTTTCTTCTTCCCTTGTCCCTTTTTTTCTTCTTCTTATCATTGCTCGGAACTTCAGTAAAAAAAAAAATCATTGCTCGGAACTTGCTCCCCTTCCTTCCTTCCTTCCATTCTCCTGGCTCACCCGGATGGTCTGCGGAGAAGTCCGGACGGCCGGCCAGGTCACCAAATGATTCGGTTGGCGGCTTAAAAGCTGAAGGTGTGGTTAGGGTTCGTTGATTTCGCCTTGAAGGTTCTGATAAAAGTTACTCATACCAGTGACTCCTCGACGAGGTACTGTAATTTATCACGTTCTGCCATTCCAGAAGTTTGTAGCTTTTCCCACCGAATTAGTCTCCTTGTTGGTCAATGTCTATGTATAGATGCCTAGTTGTTGTACGTTAGGGTTTCTCTCGTTTCTATGCATAACTGGTTGGACTTCGATTTTTTGTTCCTGATTTGTGTGTAGTTATAATATGATCGAGAAGAGGAAGGTGCTGTTTACAGAGTTGGAGGGTGATAGAATTAGTAACCTTCCCGCCCATCTAATACAACTAATTCTTACGTCCTTACCCATAAGAGAAGCAGGGAAAACTAGCATACTGTCAAGACAATGGAGGCACCATTGGAGAAACATTACCCGCCTTGTGTTTGATGATGAGTTTTATGAACTGGAGGATTCCGATTCTAAATCGGAAGTGAATAGTCTAGTGATGAGAATTCAGCAAACTCTGCAGGTTCATGATGGACCTATAACCGAGTTTGTGCTTTCGATTTCTGGATTAACAGCCGCTGCTGATAATCTTCACTTGGTTTCTTACCTCTCCAACAAAGGCATCTCTGCACTCTCCCTTCTGTTTGATTTTGACCAACACTCATATGGTGAAAAGATCAGCTCTTCTGTTTTTCTTGCTCCTAAATTGGATAGCCTGAAACTGCAGGCATGTAAATTAAAAGTACCACCTTGGTTTGTGGGATTTACCAGGCTGACTGTTCTTCAGTTAGAAATGGTATGTTTGCCCAATGATTTCTTTCAGAGTTTCCTTCTCAAGTGCCCGCTGCTTGAAGATTTGAGAGCTTCCTACGTTGTGGGTCCTAGTAAGCTTGAAGTTGTAGGTCCACCACGTCTCAAAGTGTGCATCTTGAGGGCGTATCGTGTACTAGAAACTATTAGCTTCAGTTCTACTCCGTTGCTTTCTTTGATTTCAATTCAAGCGGAGATGTATGTTCAGTATGTTTCCGATACAACTGCTGTAGATATAGTCTCTACATTTGTTTCCCTCCCAGCAGTCCAGCAATTGAATCTAAGCTTTGAGTGCCTCCATGTAAGTTTGAGTTCATTTAAAAATATTCTCTCTGTACCAAAATGCCTGGAACATCTGTTATGCTCAGTCTCGCGTGTTTGGTTTTGTCTTAGTTACTTGCTGTAGGTCCCGTTCCAGACAGGTTGCCTATGGCACTTCACCACTTGGAAGTTCTTGACATTGGCAATTGTTATGATGATCAGTGTTTTCTTGAGCTGGAGGTTCTCATTTGTCTTATAAGGAGTTCCCCCAACTTGTATAAACTTACAATTCAGGTTGGAAACCTCTATAAATCCTTTCTTTTTCTTGATTATGTTAAGGCTTGGTGCTGCTCTGATCTCCAATTTGGGCAAAACTTGTTCCTTCATTAATACCATCTGCAGAACACTCGCATACTTGATGGTTTAAATGTTGAGAGGGAATTGACTCCCTTGACATCTGGATCAAATGGATATCCAGATCCTGAAGCTGAAGGTAGTTACTGTCAAAGTCTTACAGAAGTCCATGTCCGGAATGGTAAAGGCTCCCGGGATGAGCTAGACCTGTTGAGGTTTCTGTTGGCCAACGCCCCGCGACTGAGTAGAATTGTCATTAAACCGGAGTATAAGTTGAGGTGGGGAAGTTGTGTAGACTTCTTGGAGAAGGTTAGACAGTGTGAATGTGTCTCAAAAGAAGCTGAGATCATATATGTCAAT